AGCTTTCCAGCCCCTCGTCCCCAACGTCAAGCGTTGCAGGGGGTTGTTGTAACCCCAATGCAGGACCCAGCCCTTGGCCTTGTTGAGTGACACCTTAACGGTTGCCCTCAGAGCCTGGGCTGTGTCCACAGCTCACCTGCCTGATTTTCCCTGGAGCTCTCCAGAGTGTTTTTAAGGGTGTTACCAAATTGTTTTTTACTGTCCTAGTGCTGTGGATACTGCAAATGAAATCGTTGCTTTGAGATCTGTGAGATCCGGATTTGTTCTACCATGTAAAGGCAAATACTGGATGTTTAAAATTTTACTGTTACTCGAAGTGAAAAAAACCCTAAACTTACCTTTCCTTTTGTGTGTTTCATCTTATGCTCTTGATTCAGCTGAATCTCCCATCTCACTCCAAACTAAACCTTACCATTTTCCCCCAGGTTGCCTGTTGGGTCGATATTTTTAGACCTTGGCAGCTGGTGCTTTATAAAAATGTACAGGTGCTCAGAGCCTCATTGCATTAGGTTAACTCCTGCCAGTCCTGAGCAAAATCATCAGCGTTGCCCTCCACGATGACCGTTGGCTCCTTTTTGGTTTGCAGAGCACGTGCTTAAAATAATACTAGTTTGAACGACTTCCAAGGCCTGTCCAATATATTCACCGAGTGCAGGAGTTTGCTCTTACTCATTAAATCTGGCTATTTTAAGCACCTGTGTAGGTGCTGCATGATCTTTTAAAATGAAGACGCCTCTGCGAAGTGGGGCACTGCGCATTCCCCTGAACTGAGGCGGAAGTCCGAATATCATGTCTAGGATTACGCAGGAAGGCTGTAGCAGAGCTGAAAACTAAGCCCAGCCTGGTAAGTCCCACACTGACCACTTGTCCCTGCCAATGTGAATTGATTGTTTTCAGGTGATCTAGGATTCCCTGATTAAAGGCCAATCCTTCACATCCTCACGTGTTACACAGGCTAATTCCAGAAGTTTTAATTAATTTTAAATAGAGGATCAGCTTACTAAGCAACTGGGTTAATCTGCTGCGTACGTGCTTTTGTCTCTGTGATACCGTGGCTTCCTTGGGTGATCTACAACATTTACAAGGCTGTCTCTTTCTGCTTACAGATACCACAAGGCAGCCAAGACCTGGAGAATTAAATGGCAAAGGTGAGTGTGTTGCAGCTGGGCAAAGCATTCCTCTGAAAAACTGGCTGTGTGTGAAGCATGAATCCCACAAGCAGGTTAAGTTAGTCATAGAATCGGTTGGGCTGGAAGGGACCTTAAAGATCATCCAGTTCCAACCCCCCTGCCATGGGCAGGGACACCTTCCACTAGACCAGGTTGCTCCAAGCCTCATCCAGCCGGGCCTTGAACACTTCCAGGGATGGGGCATCCACAGCTTCTCTGGGCAACCTGTTCCAGTGCCTCACCACCCTCTCCGTGAAGAATTTCTTCCTGATATCTAAACTAACCCTCCCCACTTTCAATTTAAACCCATTACCCCTTGTCCTGTCACTACAGGCCCTTGTAAAAAGCCCCCCCCAGCTTCCTTGTAGCCCCTTCAGGTACTGGAAGGTGCTATAAGGTCTCCCCGGAGCCTTCTCTTCTCCAGGCTGAACAAGCCCAACTCTCTCAGCCTGTCCCCATAGCAGAGGGGCTCCAGCCCTCTGAGCATCTTCGTGGCCTCCTCTGGACTTCCTCCAACCGGTCTATAGTCTTCCGATGTTGTGGGTGGGTCCTAGGTTTATGTTTGCACATGTCATAGAAAGACATTCAGTAACGATTTCTTCGAGAGCGCGTGTGTATAGGTGTATAAATACGCGCATGCGCAGTGCTGCTCTTTGTCTCGGAGGCAGTGAGGCCGTAGCCGTTTACCGCTGTTCTGCAGCGCGTGGTACACACTGCAGAGAAGGTAACAAAGTGGGACAGACTTGGCAGAACAAACCCCGGATTTAATGAGGCGGTGAAATGTTAACAGGGGCAGAGTACGTGCTGCCAGTTTTCTTGTCTGCGACCCGCTGGCCGAGGTTTTCAAAGCAGGGCTCTGTGGGTTTAAGCGCCCTGGTCCATACTTGGGTGCTATGAGGCTTGATTTTTCCGGAGTGCCTGGTAGCTCTGGTGAGATACCTCAAACGCACGCTGCTTTGGGAAATGCAACTCCCTGATGAGGTGTATTTATCTGTATTAATAGCTTGTGTCCAGCTGCTCTTCTGTTTTCTGTTGGCTTATTTCTGAATGAGGTTTGTTCT